ATAAAAAAAATAGATGTAATGCTAATTTCAGAAACCCACTTTACAAGCAAAAGCTATTTCAAAATACAAGGGTACTCCCTGTACCACACTATGCACCCAGATGGCAAAGCCCACGGTGGCGCTGCAATCCTGATAAAGGCAAATATCAAGCATCATGAGTCCTCACCCTACTCAAAGAAATATCTGCAAGCATCATCCATCGTGGTATCCGATTCAATTAACAAATTAACTTTGTCAGCCGTCTACTGTCCACCAAGACACACCATCAAAAATACTGAGTTTGCTGATTATTTCCGTTCTTTGGGGCCGAGATTTGTCGCTGGAGGTGATTACAACGCCAAACACACGTACTGGGGTTCAAGGCTGATACTACCTCGCGGTCGTGAACTACTTAGATGCGTCCAAATGAACAACATGTATGTTCTCTCATCAGGCCATCCCACATACTGGCCAACAGATCCCAAGAAAATACCAGATGTCATCGACTTTTGCGTAATTAAGGGAATAGCCAAAAATTATCTGTCCTGCCAAAGCTGTTTGGACTTATCATCGGATCACTCACCAATTATTATTAACCTTTCTACCACCTTAACAGCGGAGGAACCTAGGTGCAATCTACACAATCGTAGAACAAACTGGTCACTATTCCGGCACTTAATTGATACAGCATTGGTTGAACCAGCTAGACTAAAGACTGAAGATGACATAATTTATGCAGTCGAACATTTTACAAGGTCACACCTGTTTTGTATGATCAAAGCTTTCATAACTACTCGTCACTTTATGGTTCAGTGTGGAAACGAGATGACAAGCCTTTGCCCCATCCTAGCGGGGGTTCCACAGGGAAGTGTAATTGGTCCGATCCTCTACCTGCTCTACACCTCGGATTTACCCACCAGTGAAAAAATTACAACAGGTACTTTTGCTGACGACACAGCCATTTTGGCCACCCATAGTCAGCCAGAAATCGCAGCCAAACTACTACAAGAAGGTTTGAATAACATAGCCGACTGGCTAAAAAGGTGGCGGATCAAAGCTAATGAAAGCAAGTCGGTCAACGTTACTTGCACCCTGCGAAGAGAGCACTGTCCACCAGTGACGTTGAATGACGTAGAAGTCCCTCGGGCAGATCACGTGCGGTATCTTGGACTGTACCTCGATAAACGTCTTACCTGGAAGAAACACATTCTTACCAAGAGAAAACAGCTTGGTCTACAGCTGAGAAAACTTTACTGGCTCATTGGTTGTAAATCCCAGTTATCAAGGGAAAACAAACTTCTAGTATATAAAGCCATCCTCAAACCTGTGTGGACGTACGGCATACAACTATGGGGAACAGCCTCACACTCCAACATAGAGATCTTACAACGTTTTCAAAACAAAATGCTGCGCATAGTTACTGGTGCCCCATGGTTTGTGACTAACGAACAACTGCACAACGATCTGAAGATGCCTACAATCAGGGAGGAAATAACTAGACACACTGAGGCATACAGGGACAGAATATCAAACCACCCAAATATATTGGCCCAACCGCTTATGGACAACAGTTTGAAAATCCGTAGGCTAAAGCTCAGAATCCCCCAGGATGTGCTGTGATAAGAGCACATTATAACTAGAACAGGGTACGGCATTGGCCGCATCCCTGCACACGACTTCCAATTTATGCCCAATCTATCGCTTAATGTCCTGATAAAGAGACAGATTGCTGTATTAAAGATGAACAAAAAAAAAAAAAAAAAGATTATTGCATGAGTTTCACATGCAAGAAAATCATTGAAAAATCAGTTTTGGCGGCTTCCAAAAATTGAATATTTTTTATTGTATTCATTTTTTGTTTTTTAAATCACATATGCCATATCTCAAAAACTAAAGCTGATAGATGAAAACGATTTTTATTTTCAGAGTCAGGATGCCATATGTTTACATAAAAGCTAATTAACTGTCTGGAAAAAAATCTTTGTAACTATGTGTAATCTTTAGATAATTAATTTGCCTACCACGCTGATCTGTTTCAATAAATCTATCTCCTTTATCGGATTTTCCTAAAGCTGTATAAACAAAATTAAATCTAATAAAAAGGGTTCTTAAGAACATAGTTTTGCAAACCGGTATTTTTGTATTCCCTTGACTGCTTGCAGGGTAATAAGAAATAGCGTGAAGGCGTTTTGAATTTACTTTATCCAGAGTAACTATTTTTTTTAGCTCTTACAGCATACCTTGCCAAAAAATTGTCTTGTCTGGTCTCCAATACTCCAAAACATGTCAAAAATTCTTTGACGAATAACTTCTGTTAATTTCCCACTACATTTTTGCCGACAATTTATGGGGCAAGAAGTTTTTATAATTCTTTTACCATGTACTCTTCCGTTTCTACTGACATCTTACAAACCTCTATTAACATTATATTTCCTCTCCTGATCCTTCCATTTTTATGAAAACGTTCCCTTAGCCTTCCTTTATCTTTTTTAGCAATTGAAATCTTTTTAGCAATTGAAAATTGAGTATAGGATATCATTAATGTCAGATGCAGGGGTGGAGATAGCAGGACTGCAAATTAGCAGATGATTTGGCAGAAGAATTATACGGCGATGGCACTGGAGTAATATCATAATGCTATTCTGGATAGGGATGGCGATCAAACTTCTTTTTGAATTTTATTATCAGCATTCGATAAACAAGGCGAGGAGCAAGGAATATTATAATTAGGGAATAATATTTTGGAAGCGTTAGAAAGGATATTCTATAATACATCTATGCTATCATTCAAATCAATAGCATCAATATTGACAGCTCCTCTTCCGTAAAATTTGTATCAGGTGGCAACGGAAACTCTAAAACAAGCAATAAATTAAATTAAGAATTCATATTTTTGTGTGGAACATGCTAATAACAAGTAACAAAATATATGACAGACTAGCTGACCCGGCAAACGTTGTTTTGCCATATACATTATTTCTAGGAAATATTGAAAAAACAAATTTAGGGGTATGAAAAATAGATGTTGGCCGATTCTCAGACCTACCCGATGTGCACACAAAATTTCATAAAAATCGGTCCAGCCGTTTCGGAGGAGTACCTATGGTAACTAACATTGTGACACGAGAATTTTATATTCAAGATAAAAAAAAAATATTATAACACAATTAATACAAAAATATCAAACGTTTAATTAGTATATTATTAAAGCCAGATGAGTCAAGTGTCTTCTTTATAACGTTATTTCGCCGTATACTAGTGTAACTGAAGTTGTATCAGTATAGTGCGTACTAAGTTACGTGAACAACAATTATCAAACAAAAATTACAAAATCACACTTATACACGTAAATAAAGATAACTTACTAGAGTTGTGTAGCTCCTGAGTGAGTGATATAAAAGATATATATCATTCACGACGATAAAATGTATCACTCACTCACACTAGATCCGAATATATCAGTAACTCAGTACTAGCTCACTAGATCACTAGCTCAACGACGCCGATCTTTGTTTCATGAGCGAGTGAGACTACAGATAAATGAGTGAGATAGATGATGGTTGAGTTCACGCAAGTTTCTTTATGCAAAATGTACATTATTTCTATAGAATCAAAGTTTAATATTACTCAAGAATTAAGCCAAGTACAAGGAAAATCAAATTATGTATGATTTCTATTATACAACCTAAAAAAAAGTACAAGAAATAATTTCTTATTTTTAATTATTTTGTAAAAGGGTGTTAATAATTATGTAATCTTTTCAAAATTAATAAAATTGTATTTAAAAAAAATAGGTTAAAAATGTAGTTTCAAGAACTGAATTTAGGTTAATATGAAAATAAAATAAGGTTTGTATGGCGAGAGAGGCTTAAAGTGAGTGATATACGAGTATACTGAGCTAAACGATCTAGATGAAGAAATGAATTAATTGAGAGACCAATCAATTGAATCGGATCAATGAGCTAGTGAGCTAAACGAGTTAGTGAGCTAAATGAGCTAGTGAGCTAAACGAGTTAGTGAGCTAAATGAGATAGGGATCTAGATGAGTGACATATATCTTTTGAGCCAAATGATATATATCAATCTTTTCAGCTCAGTGATACATTTTGCGCATCACTATAACTTACCATCTTCATCCCTGTTTTGCATTGTATCACTGATTCCGGAGTTATTTTATTGTATTCACATTGTCGTTGAGTAAATTTAAAAGAATACATGCCCTGTTTGATTGCATTCTGTTACTAATATTAATTAAAAATATAAAACAATTTAAGACAACTACATCCACATTTACTTTATTCACTAATTTTATAAAAAACAATTGTACCACTAGGGAGGCAAATGTTATACTTCGTACTGGTTACTGTAGTGTCTTGAGGCTGGTGATACACATAGAACATCAAACTAATGCCTAATTGGTGTTTTCTTCAAAGTGAACACACGATTTTCTATGAGGTGTAATAAAATTGAAGTGTAATCTTCTTTAGTCGAACAAACTATAATGATCAACTCATTTTAAATGACAAAATGCTCAAGGACCTTTTCAATGTGAAAAACTCATTTTTCCATTAAAGTTCACCTAATTTTACTTCAATTATATTTTTATTTTAAAATGATGATTTCATTATGTTTTAAGAGAAAAAAAAACTTTGCTTAGTAATTATGTATATAACCTTATTAAATTTATTTTAATTCATTATTTCAATACAAAAATACCATTAATTTTATTTCTTACATTTATATGGTGTTAGAGTGAATATTCATCCTTTTCAATCCTTCATTTTAATAGACCAAAGTTTATGTTAAGGGTTAACTTGATTTTAAAAAAACATATTTGTGTGGCTAATTATAAACCTGAGACAAAAAGAATGAAAAGTCACCTGTACCAAAAATAAATATAGAGTAATAAGTTATTGTAGTTAATTATCACATGGTTATGGCTAATCAAATTGTATTATGATGATTTTGTGCACATAAATAATGTGTTTAAATTGTTGCATATGTATTTTAGAAAATAATAACTAGGTTGTTTCTTCTTTAGAAAATGGTTGAAATGAACCTTGTTGTACCCAAGATATCCCTTGATTTGCACATTCATTTGTTGGTGTTTTCAGCATCATATTTTTGGCATTATCATGAACATCAGGGTCATATGGCTTAAAAGTTATAAAGTGTTTATCTTCTGTAGGTGGGTCATCATAAATATGATCTATACTTAATACAACACATTCTCTTACTTTCTCCATAAATAATTTTCTATTACTCTTATACCTGAAATATAAAAATACTTATTATTTTATTATTCAACGTGGCAATGATGCCAGTCTTTTGGGAACGCTAGTCTACGCCAACAAACGCAAGTAGGCGATGATGTGGAGAATTTTTTTGATAGTGTCAATGTTGTAAATATTTTAATTGCATTATTTGCTTAGTTAGTTTCAAGCTTAATAAATATTTAAATTAGTATTTTATGAAAACTATTTATTGAACTTTGGAGTAATAAAGAAATATATTTTAAGGAAGTAGATTTTGTTTTAATACATCATATAATACAATGAAACAAATGAATATAAGATACTTACGCAACAGAAGCATCAACATTTGAAGGCACTTTAACATTCAAGTTATGAAAAATAGAATATAAATATTTCAATATTAGCCATATGTGATGCTGCTTTTTATCCCACTGTGGGAACACTTCAGTCAAATTTAGTACACCTGTATTAGGATCCACTGCTGGGTGATATAAATGGGAAGTAAATTTTAAAACCTGAAATAAGATTAATTATAATTTATAACTCTTACTATAGCTTAGGAGTTTACTTTCATTTTAAATGAATCTAGAATGTTAAGTTAAATTTGCTTACAGGCACTTCTTCATCTGGAAAATTTTCAGGTAATGTCAATGTAAACCTGAAAACACCTCCTTCGTAGTAATCAGAACGCACAAAAATGACTCCAAACCACACTGTAATAATAAAATTAGATTTTTAGTAAATTATCTACACAAAGAGATTTAGTTAATTACAAAAGTTTTACATGTTGTAATATTTTACGTCATAGATAACTTCATACACAATTATGTATAAACACGGGACTTATCGCGATCACGTAACTCGGTGATATTACTTAGATTGAATTGTACTGAACGTGGGCCGTGTATATGCCTACTTCCTTATATATCAGGGAACGCGAAAGTTTAAAAATTATCATAACTAAATAATTTCAAAATACATACAAAATGAGTTTTCGTACGATGGTATCACATAGATCCCTTGTAGATTTTCCGTTTGCAACATACGACTGGAAAAAAAATAGCATGTAACATAGGGTAGCATGTAAAGGGTTACATCTGGATTGTAAATACGAACAATTTATTCAATTATAATTTCCTCACAATCAAGATAAACTTTTTACTCACTATTCAGCCATGATAATACATTCTTGATGGTACATGGCATGTAAATCTTTGTTGTCTCTATGATTTCTAGTATCATCATTCATATTCTATTTTGTTTAAATCTCGAAAAACAATAAGTAAATCAGAATAATACAAAATTTTAATTACAATAACATTATTATTGACATATGTTACAAACTCCAGTCCAGTGTTGCCAACTCTTTTAAATCTTAGTCGACCAAAAGCAAAAATCGATTGTTTTTTTTTTTGGAATTTAATGACCTGGTAACTAAGACCTTTAAGTCAAGTTTTATTTTATTTGAACAAACATTGCACTTTCACTTTACTTCATTTCAAATGAGAAAGACTAAGAAACAATCTAGAGATAGAAATAATACTGATAATACTGTGACTGCACGGATGGCGTAGTGGTTTAAGCGGTCGCCACAATATGATGTGTCATAATTACTCATAATTGTTCGGTAAGTTGCATTGTCATAACTGTTTATTAAATCTATTCATTTATAGAATCCTAAAAACGTTATTTTATGTTTTTTATCGGAATTTATCAAGCAGAAACATTTTTGCAAAAGAGATGGTCACTATTTTGAACTAAATTTTTTTCTCACAGAAAAAATGTTTTAACTCGCTTTTGCTCTTTAAATTTTTGCTCTTTAAATAATCTCGCTAGAAGATCTCGCGTTTGATTTGTGTGTTTAAAATCGCCAAATAAGAAAATCCTTTTTATTGTAAAAGCTTTTTTATGGCTTTGACATAAATCATAATTTCTATTTCTATAATTTATAGCTATAAATTAGCTAGATTAGTCCTGGAATTCCGGAATCAAGTTTTATTTTGTCAAAACAGTTTTCTACATAATTATATAAAAGTGATACATACATGAGATTATCATATTTTTACCGTGACTGTCCATGACACATTTAAGGTATTTCATTCTTGGTCAAAATATTTTAAAAGTGCATTTTGACAGTTGAAGTTTAGGTGTGGGGTCCACAAAGCGATAGTGAGAAAAATGGAATCAAATTCAAAGCCTCGGTGGTGCAGTGGTAGCCTATGAGAGTGCGACTGCTGTGCTGAGGTCTCGGGCTCGATTGCCGGGTCGGACCAAATGTTTGTATGATCTACAAATATTTGTTTCGGAGTTTGGGTGTTTTCTATGTATAATATGTATGTATTTACAAACAAAGTATATAAGTATTTCAATCTAGTTTTCACAGTACAAGCTCTGCTTAGTTTGAAACGAGATGGCGTTGTGTGTCAGACGTCCAAAATTTTATTATTCTCTTTATTACATTATATATACATACTGATTACATTTTTACAAAAGAAAAAAAATACTTAAAAAAAAATATAATCTTTCTTTTTGAACTTTCACGTGATTCTCGTCATGAGGTCGGCGATACTAATCGATCTATCACCACAATGTCAGGCTAATTGGCATCAATAGTCCTGTCTGTGATAATAGATCGATCTCAATGCAACCTAGTCCGACCATTCTAGAGAACTTGGCCGGGCACATACCTGTAGTATGGCATCTCTAAATTCACAAGTTGGTATTTAAGGGCAAGCTGTTGGTGTACTATCCTGGCTACTTGGTTGTGCCTGTGCAATTATTCACCCTTAGAGAGACGAGAACAACCAGAAATAATATGCCTGATTGATTACCAAAGACGGTGGCATGCCCGACAGATGTGAACCTTACCATCTTTCAGGATATATTTCCGATAGTTATTCGTCATGATAACTTCGTCCATAATCGCACAAACAAATCCTTCAGTTTCCCCGAAGAGATCACCATACCGTAGCCAAGTAGTAGATCCTTTTAGTCTATATCGGACCCGTTTCAGGCCCGATAAAACCGACCATAGAGCTCTTGGCCCTTCCATACTTTCCTGCGATCATTAGTACTAAGTACTACAGGTTTGCACTAATTCTCTTTAGTCAGAGCGAGCGGAGTGAATCCCGTATCTACTACAACTACATTGCGATGCACTCCCATATCAGTATGTAGAAAATATTATCTGAGATTGTATATCTCGCGATTGTGTAGGGACTTGAAATTTAATAGTCTGCTACCACCAAACTTGGAATGCAGTTAGCAGTGTACGGACTCTTCTGTCAAGGGCATCTAATTCGGTGTGAGTCGATCTAAGTATACCAAAGTAATACATCAGAACCTTGTTGCCCCGCGATAAAAGACTTTAAATTACTTTCTCCAGACGGCCAAAAAAGGGTTCCTGCAACGTTTGTTTCATGTTAGATTTTGGTATTTCCAACGATTGTGATACACTTAGATACCTGTAGGTTTTAGTGGTGGACAGAGCTCTGAGTTTTGTTGAATCTGAAAGCTCTGTTCCTTCGAATTCTACTATCACGCCCTTCTTAACATACATGACTGCACACTTGACTACACCAAATTCCATCTTGATAGAATTACTAAAGTTTTCCGTAACCCTTAGTAACGCTGTCAATTGTAATTTAGCGGGATCTAGTAGTTTCAAATCATCCATATAAAGAAGGTGAGATATAACTTGATCATCTTTCTGCAACCTATAGCCTAACCCTAAACCCTCAAATAGCGTGTTTAGAGGGCTCAAAGCCAGACAAAACCACAAGGGACTTAGACTATCACCTTGAAATATACAGCGGTCGATCTTTATTAGTACAACGTTTACCGCAGTCTGCCAACATCCTAGATAGCGAAGTGCTGTTCTCCATTACCCCATACATGACTCCAAGAAAGTGCACAGAGTTGTACAACAATACAACTCCAGTACCTTCAAAAGCCATGTATGTGGAACCGAGTCATAAGCCTTCCATATTATTATTATATATCATCAATATATACCAAACATCGTTAATCGTGTTAAAATGGTTATACTTGTGGCATTTTTTTTTGAAGAACTATGTTCTGTGAATATTAAAGTTAATAATTATATTATCTTATCAATTTGTACCGAATGGTAGGGGGAATTGTCTACGATAATAACACATTGGTCAGGAAGGTTTTGCAAAACATGCATTTACTAACCGCTCTTTAAATTTATCTGAGTCCATCTCTTCGTGGTATTCTTTTGTGTTCTTTGACTCGAACACAAACTACCAATTTTCAACAAAACCTCATGCATGCAGCATGACAAATTATTGATCAGTCACCCTTCCCAATAGCATGGAGGGTCTACCCTCCATACTGCTTAGCTCTGGCTAAGGAGAATAATCTCTTATGGAAGAAAAGTAAAAAAAGTGTCCAGCTGTATGCTGTAAATAACATTTCAACCCGTCCAGAATGGTACTGGTGTAGACAAAATGAATGAAGCAGTTGTAGACGAATTGAAGTTGCCGACTATTGCCGTCGAATTGGAGTTTATTTAGTAAATATAACCTCAAAGTATTATATCCACCAGTTACTGTCTGTAAAACTTATATTATGACCGTTTTCGCAATCTAGCGCACAATCTAATTGTTTTTTAAATTAAACAGATATTTTACCCACTTTTTTGCCATGTTTAATTCTCTATCTTACTCTAATGACTTTTGGCGCTTTCTTTAAAATTTACCCTGATGCTGCTGTAGCGCCCCCAATTTCACTTTTTTTCACGGATACTTTTTATATACAAAGATAATGTACGCAAACCTCAAGAACGTTTGATAGGAAATTGGTACTGGTATTTACATCGCCTGCCGTCGCTGCATTTGCTATTGCATTGCATGGTAGCATTCCCGCTTTCGGCGGGACGCCTTTTTGCAGGATCTGTCAAACCAGGACTTCGATCTGGCACCGATAGGAAGTAGGTAGGTAGAAGGAACGAATAGTTCCATGTCCTAATGTGCCATACACGGCGGCAGCCTGCCACTCGCGTCGCGGCAAGCACGTAAGTGGCACTGTACTCAAGATTAGACAATGATCCGAGGAGCCAAGTGGGGTTTCAACGGCGATTTTGTAACCGGATCGGAGGTCAGCAGAAGGTCTGGGACTCGCGTGGGCGTTGATACTAATTGTGACAAGCCATAGGTCAGGGCGAAATCGTAAACCGATCGCCCCGCGTGATTAGTTTTGCGTGAGCCAAGCCATTCGGCGTTGTGATTAGATCTGTTGCAGCACGGAATCTGTAGCCATTTGGACGTGATCCATCAGTCGGTCAGTCTCGGTGTCACCGATATGTGACCTGTAGGTAAAGGCATGCGTAGATGCGGGGATAGTCGTCGCTGTCTACGCGTAGTCACAAGATAGAATGCTCCCGTCCTTCAGGATTGCTGAGACGTCGCGAACTCATAACACCCACGCACACTCCAGCCCTAGCAATAAAGGAGTGTTCCAGATGATAGCCGGGATAGGAGAGGTAGGATGTGTCCGATGGAGATGATATCTGCGTCTCGGTTAAAAAGAGCAAGGCCGGCTTCACTGTCTCGAGGTGATAGTGGACAGCATTGAGGTTGGAGTGAAGGCCCCTTATATTGCAGAATTTCACGTCAAGCGTGGCGAGGGGTGCCTTGATGTGCCTGCTCCCGGTAGATATCCTGTCGAGCGCTGTTGCGCCCCCTCCCCAGAATACGCGTTGCAGCCCATACATTCACGCCCAGACGCATGGTGTTCTGAGCGTGGACGTCCCGAAGGAGATTCTACAACAGTCTTAAAAAGTTTTAAAAACGAATTGATTTCTATAGTCAAAATAATTTAACGGTGAAAATTATTTAAACTATAGAAATCAATTAGTTGTTGTTATTTGAAACCATAAAACAGTAAACCGAATTCATCAAAATAATATATAAAATATTCAAATGTAAAAAAAATGACATTTACAAAATTAAATTAATTCGACAGCTTGTCCTCCGGACATGGCATGTACGGAAGTGTGGTTGAACCACAATCCCATCGATCAAAAGTTGAAGTTAAATTATCTATGTTATCCATACTAACTCATACTAATATTATAAATGTAAAAGTGTTTGTCTGTTACCTCTTCACTAAACCGATTTAGATGAATCTTGGTATATAGATAGTATGAGTCCCGGGAAAGGACATAGGATAGTTTTTATCCCAGAAATCAATCATTAGAAGAAACTTATCGATTTAGACGAAATT